ATCTACAGAATTTTACCTAATATATTGTCAGTTGAAATTAATTAATGAGTCCAGGGCATTCCAAAAAGACAGAGAAAATTTGGCAAGAAGGATGGAGATTAGATAGCCAGGTGGACTTCCCACAAGGAAGGGGTATTAAAAAGAAAAATAGTGACACACATCCTAATCCTAGCTACTCGGGAGGCTGAAGCAGGAGGATTACAAGTTTGAGGCCAGCCTCAACAACTTAATGAGACTCTGTTTCAAAACAAACAAACAAGGGCTGGGGATGTGGCTCAAGCGGTAGCGTGCTCGCCTGGCATGTGTGCGGCCCGGGTTCGATCCTCAGCACCACATACAAACAAAGATGTTGTGTCCGCCGAAAACTAAAATAAATAAATAAATATTAAAAAAAAAAAACAGGTTAGGGATATAGCTTAGTGGTAGAGTACTCTGGAGTTCAATCCCTAGTACCACACACACACACACACACAAAAAAAAAAAACAGACATTAAAATGAAAGGAAAAGGGGCTGGAATTGTAGCTCAGTGGTAAAGCTCTTGCCTAGCAAGGATGAGGCCCTGGGTTTGATCCTCAGCACCACATAAAAATAAATAAACAAACAAACAAATAAATAAAATAAAAGTTAAATTCATTTGGGAGGGAGAAAGGAAAATGGAAACTCCACAAAGCAGAGGAGAGGAGGCTCAGCTGAGCAGGAAAGATGGAGAAGGGATCCTGTAAGGAGCAAGGACAGGGGAGAGATGAGCTCTTGTGTGCCCAGCCTGCTTGGCAGGGAGCCTTGGGAGCAGCCTCCTGTGTCCCCCTTCCTCCCTAAGGTTCTGAGAATAGGACTAGGGAGGGACAAGTGTTAGGTGTAGGTCCCCAGCCCTTGGTACTTAGTGTGTAGACAGCAATAACAGGTGCTCAGAGGACAGAAGGGACAGGACTCCACAGACAAGCACAGCCCGGGTTTCCACTGCTCTCCTGTCCTCTAGCCTCCTACAAACCTCTCTTCACCGCGTCACCTTTCCTGCCCTGCAGTCAGGCCTGTGTGTGTGTGTGTGTGTGTGTGTGTGTATGAGAGAAAGAGATAAAGAGAGAAGAAAGAAAAGAGAGAGGAGAGAGAGGCAGACAGACAGAGTTTGCCTGCATGCCAGTGCATAATGGGAATTATTTTTGGAATTATCCGCTGTTTGGCTGGGATCATTTTATTTCAGCAAGTTGACCTAGAACTGACTTCAAGTGACACATCATGGGTCAGACTCTTCCCCAGCACCTAGCACATCCTATAGGAGCTCAAAAGGAAGTGACTGAGTCAGGCAGATGGAGCATGCCTGTAATCCCAGTGACTTGGGAGGCTGCGGCAGGAGGATCGAAAGTTCCAAGCCAGCCTCAGCAACTTAGGGAGGACCCAAGCAACTCAATGAGACCCTGTTTCTAATAAAATTTATAAAAAGGGCTGGGGATGTGGTGAGGTGGTTAAGTGCCCCTGCATTCAATCCTTAGTACTACCTAAAGTCAACCGCAAGGACAGAATAAGAAGGGCCAAGAAACTGACACTGACTGAACACCTGAGAGGAGCCAGGTATTGGCTAGGGACTTGGCATATGATTTTTATCTTAGAGGTGAGGAAATTGAGGCTCAGAGGTCCAGAACTCCCCAAGGTGGTAGAACTAACTAACAAACAGCATGTTTGGCTCCAGAGCCCTGTCCCTTCCTGTTACACTTTGAAATTTTAAAAATGCAGTTATACTTGGGGCTAGGCCTGGAGCTGGGGCTGAGCGGTAGAGCGCTCGCCTAGCATGCATGAGACCCTGGGTTCAATCTTCAGCACCACATATAAATAAGTAAATAAAATAAAGGTATTGTGTCCACCTACAACTAAAAACTAAATTTAAAAAAATGCAGTTATACTTAATGCATCCTTACTGCCAGGTGTGGTGGTGCACAACAGCACTCCCAGCAACACAGGAGGCCCTAAAGCTATTTAGCAAGACATTGTCTCCAATTAAAGAAAGGGGGCTGGGGCTGCAGTTCTTGATAAAGCACTTGCCTCCAATGTGTGAGGTACTGGGTTTGATCCTCAGTGTTCATCTACAATATATATCCATATATATATATATATATATATATATTTTTTTTTTTTTAAAGAAATGCTACAATAATTTAAATACATACACACATTCACATACACTTACTGAACCTCTGCTGTGGACAGGGTACGTGCTCAGTGCTGGGACATCCAGAGTAGGGGATACAATAGTTAAGATGAGAAAGCTAGCTGGGCACTGTGGCACATGCCTATAATCCCAGCAACTAGGGAGGCTGAGCCAAGAGGATCGCAAGTTTGAGGCCAGCCTCAGCAACTTAGTGGTCCCTAAGCAACTTAGTGAGACCTTGTCTCAAAATAAAAAAATAAGAAGGGCTGGGGATGTAGCTCAGTGGTACAGTGCCCCTAAGTTCAGTCCTCGGTACGGTGTATGGGTGTGAAGGTGAGAGGGCTAGGGGTGTAGTTTAGTGGCAGAGCACCCATCTAGCATGCTAAAGACTTCTGATCCCATCCCCAATACTAGGGAAGAAAAAAAAAGAGGAGAGAGAGTTTGGTCCTCCAAGGTCCTCAAGGAGAGAGATATGCCACCTATACACCTTTCTGTCATAAGGCAAAGAGTAGGGGATTTTTAAAGTAAGGCCTTCTGCTCTCATTGCCATAACCTTAGATTGAGCAGGCAGGGGTGGGGGGAGAAGAGCCCCTGGATAGCAAGGTGGCTTGGCTGTAGCCTGGCTGGCAGGACTGTTAGTGGAGGGGGAACTGAACAAAGGAGCCCATTGGCTTCAGGAAGCAAATGAGAAGCTTGGAAAAAACCCACCCTGCTGGTAGTCTCGGCAGCTCTGGCGACTGAGGCAGGGGTATTGCAAGTTCAAAGCCAGCTTCAGCAACTTGTTGAGGCCCTGAGCAACTCAGTGAGACCCTGTCTCTAAAAGAAAATATAAAAAAGGGACTGGGGGGTGTGGCTTAGTGGTTAAGTGCCCCTGGGTTCAATCCCGGGTACAAAAAAAAGGCAATAAAACAAAACCCACCCCAAACCTGCCTCCTCTAGGTGCCCACCCTCAGGTCCCTCTGTGCTTAGGCACTCCCCCACATGACCTGGAGGCACATGCTACACACACCAAATACACCATGCCACACATCTAAGTGTGCGTGCACATGCACGAGCATGTCCTGCCCTCCGCGTGCCAGATTCACACAGGCTCCTCTCCTGCCTTGGAGGATATTTGCCTGGAGTCGCAGTGTAAGCCCCAGGGTGGACATTTACACACTCAAAGGGCTGATTTTTGCTTGTTGGATCAGTGATGTGGGTCCAGCAGGGACTCGCCTTGCCCACCTTACCCTTCGGCCTGTCCCTTCCCCACTTAGTAGTCATGCCCACTCACACACACTTGTTTCTGCCCTTGTTTTCCACCCTGGCCAAATCCCCATGGCTTCTTTGGTCATTAACCTCCTGCTTTAATTGGCTTATTGGGGAGGAAAGCAGAGGTAGGGCAAATTCAGGGTGGGTGTCTGGGGGGAATCTCATTTCAACCGGGACAGGAAAGCTCAAGCCATCTGGCAACCCTACAAAAATGCCTGACACACAATAAGTCCTATGCAACTATCTGCTCTTTCCATTAATGTGAAAAACGGTCACCTGGTCTTCAATATAAACTTCCCCAGATGAGAGCCCTGTAGTCTCCAGTACCAAGGATCCTCCAATCCAGGTTTCTGGGGACAAGTGTCTGAAACAGTCCACTCTCCAGGGCCCTGTCTTTCTCATTCTTCCTCTTCTACACCTGCTTGATGGCAATAGCACCCAACCCCATAATAAGATTTCTTGTTATCTTCTGTTAAACCCTCCATCCAGGGAACACCCTGCCCCAACTCTGGAGAATTCTAGGGTTCTGGGTCCAGGCTTCTCCTTCCTTGGATCTGCCCAGCAAAGGAGAAAGAGCCCTGCAGTGTTGCAACCCCTCAGCACCTCCAGGGATCCCACCCTTTCCTTGGTGTGCAAAGTCAGTGTTTCCAAGAATCAATTGAGGGAACTGAGTTTAAATTTGCTTAGCCTTTAGGGCCTCAAAGTGCACGGGTCTATGAGGTCATGTCACCCATTTCCCTGCCTCCAAGAAAACTAGCTCAGATTTAAGTTCCCAAGGCACTCTAGAAAAGGACACCTTATCACTGTGGCTCACCCACTCATTCTTTTCTTTTTTTAGTTATATATAACATTATGATACATTTTGACATAATCACAAAAGCGTCGAATATAATTAGCTCTAATTCAGTCTGCAGCATTTTACCCCCTCCCCTTTCTATCTGCCCCTGCTCCTGCTCCTCTCCCTCTACTGATCTTTCTGTAATTTATTTATTTATTTATTTATTTTTAAATCAGTGTATTGTGGATATATTTGTTGTTGTCACTCACCCATTCTTATAAAACTTTTGGAAAGTCTAATCTCAAGCCCTCAAACTGCAGTGTCATTCATTCTCTTGGGAAAGACCCAGAGATAAAAAACGGTAACAAAAAAAAAAAAAAAAAAAAAAAAGAGCCGAAGGCATGGGGTAAAGGGGAGAAGACAGTATTGCGTTGCACCTCAACTTCCCCCAAATGCCTCCTGAAGGTGTCCAACTGTCTGATTCAAGCCTTTCAAAACTTATTTTCAACTCTCACCAAATTCCCAGCTTCAGAGGGGCTAAACTAACGGGTGTTCAGCTGGACAGAGGCGAGCGAAGCAGAGTGGACTGATGCTTGGTGTTGAGAAGCAGATCACCCCCAGACCGGGTTTCCAGCGCAGGCCCGAAGGAAGCCTGGGTTCCCGGCAGACCCCCGGTCTTTGCTCCCTCCGTTGGCTACACCCGAAGTTCAAGGCCTCACCAGGACTTTGGCCGCCTCGCGGCTCTCCGGCCCCTTCTCCCCCGTCTTCCTCCCGCGTCACTCCAGCTTCCCCGCCCATTCCACGGCTCGGAAGGACGCGGACTAACTCACCTCCCAGCCGGCGCCTCTGAGATCTCCGGGACAGGGGGGCCGAGGGGCGGGAGGGGGCAGTCTGCTGCTTAAGGATGGGGAGCCCCATTCTCTGCCAAGGGCCCACGCCCAGCCCGCACCCCCTCCGGGCCCACGGAGCGCCGAGGCCGGTCCTCCCCCCATCGCGGCTGCGGGCTTTGTCTGCCGCCGCGAACCTCTCCCCGCGGCCCGGCCGACTCGACTCCGGCTGCGGGGAGGGGAGCGCGAGGGAGCGGGCGGGGAGGGGAGGAGGGGAGACGGGAGCCGCAGTGACCCGGCGGGGACCGCTCCCGCCCCGGCCCCTTCATTACCATAAGAAAGAGGGCCCGGACGGGCCGGGACCGGGAGGGAGCAGCGCGCGAGGGGGCGAGGAGCGATCGTCCTTTTCACACCCGTCTGTTTCTGCACACTGTCCCCTCTCCCTGTGTCCGCCCCCAGGAAAAATTAGGGACCTCGACTTCCACCCCACCCCTAGCTGTGCCTGGGAGCCGTGCGTAGAGAGCCAAAGGCACATCCCTACCCGCCTCGGGTCAAGGAATTCGTCCCCGCGCCCCGAGGGCGGGAAACTACAACTCCCGGCATGCCCCGGGCGCCCCCGGCGCGCCCCCCTCCCGTCAGTTCCATGCTGCTCCATCCAGTTCATTTAAAACAAAAGAGTTTGAGCGCTGGAAGGGGCTGGGCTCTACTGGGGGCCAGGGCGCGCAGCTCCAGGACTGGGGCTTGGTGCGGGAGCCTAAGGGGGGCGTCTGGACTGCGGAGACTAGAGACTCCCGGGTCCGAGGCGGGAGGGGTGGGGGCCGAGATCCCGCAGCCCCCCGCCCCCTGTCACCCCCGGAGAGGAGCGGAGATCGGCTTTCTTGGTTTTGCTTCTCTTTACCCCCACCCCCACCCCGGGGGCTGGGGCGAGGGGAGTCGGGTTACAGGGTGTTTGGGGAGGGGGGCTCAGGGGGAGGGGCTATCTTTCTATCTCGCTTTCTTCCCCCCTCCCCAGTTCTTTGTTCCCCCCTCCCCACACACCCCCTCCTCTCCTCTCCCCTCCCCTCCTCTCTCCTCTTTTCCCTTCCACCACCTCTCTCTCTCCCTCTCTCTCTCTCTCCCCCAGCTTTTGTTTCGCCATGCCTAGTCTAGTGGTATCTGGAATAATGGAAAGAAATGGGGGCTTTGGAGAACTAGGATGTTTCGGGGGAAGCGCTAAGGACCGAGGGCTGCTGGAAGACGAGCGCGCCCTTCAGCTGGCTCTTGATCAACTCTGCCTCCTGGGTTTGGGGGAGCCCCCCGCCCCCACGGCGGGCGAGGACGGGGGAGGTGGGGGGGGCGGCGCCCCCTCGCAGCCGGCCGCCCCCCCGCAGCCGGCCCCGCCGCCGCCGCCCGCGGCGCCCCCGGCCGCCCCGACAGCGGCCCCCGCGGCGCAGACGCCCCAGCCCCCCACCGCCCCCAAAGGGGCGAGCGACGCCAAGCTCTGCGCTCTCTACAAAGAGGCCGAGCTGCGCCTGAAGGGCAGTAGCAACACCACGGAGTGTGTACCCGTGCCCACCTCTGAGCACGTGGCCGAGATCGTGGGCAGACAAGGTAAGTGGGCACCGGGACCACGGAGTGGGCTGGAGTGGGGGGCACCCCATTCCCCGCGCGGAAAGTTCATTTCTTCCTCTCTTGCCCGCCCCTGCCCTGTCCCTTCCCCACAAAGGGGGACCCGCCCCCTACCCTGATTTCCAAGTGCCACAAAGTTCCCTGCTACCCTCAGTCGGGACGGTTCTCCAGACCCTTCCTTCCCCAGGGCTCTGCCCTTAGACAAAGAAATATCCTCGAACTGGGAAGAGGGAAAGGGGAGGGGGACCGGCCTCCCAATCCAGGGAGGCTGTCCGGAGGGGGTGTCCGCTCCTAGCTAGAAAAACTGATGGAATGTGCAAAGAGTTGCGCAGGAGCCCCTAGTTCAGTATCTGCTTGTAGGTTGGGGAGGGGGCACTCCTGGGACCCCCAGCTGCCTGGAGTTAAGGACTTTGGGGGAGACCTGGCCCGGGAAGCCAGCCTGAGTATCTGTCTCTTTGTTGGGCTGAGTGTAGGAATGGAAGGGGGTGTGGCTCACCGAGGGTCCGGGTCTGGGGGAGAGGTGGAATGGGGGGCCGCTGGGAGGAGGGGTTCCTGTGGTTACCCACACACCAAAGTTGGAGGATCCTCGGTGTTTTGGAAGGGGTGTCTCCAAGGAAGTGCTAGTCCTGGTGTGGACCGCTGCTTCCTCTCTGGCTTTTGTTCTGGGCTGGCCACGGCCTGGGGCCAGAGGCCTGGAGAGGGGTCTCTGAGTGAGAAAGTGGGACAGGGCCGGAGGGGAAATGCCGGGGTAAGGGTGAGAAGGCTTCACCTGGAAATTTGGCGAGGGGTGTGTGTCTGGGTGTGCTGGCAGGGGGTGTAGTATTAATCCAGCGTAGAATGTCTGATACCGCACCCTCCTCAGCCCAGCATCCCTGGGCGGGTGGGTGGGTGGGGGTGTTGGTAAGGGTCCAAATTGAGCAGACGGGATCTTGGGGACCCTTCCCTCTCCCGGTTTCCCAAAGGGGGGGCGGGATTTGGAAATTGCGAAGGGGCTGGGCTGGGGAGGTGTGGGGTGGGGGAGGAGCGGGGGAGGAGCTGTCCCACAGTGGGGAACAATAGAGGAGCTGCATTCCGGCCGGGAGTGAGGGAGGAGGCCGGCTTCTGGCGGCGGAGGAGGGGAAGCAGGCCGGGGGGGCCCTACTCCACATCCCACCTCATCCACTGGGAGTCTGGGGGCTGGGGAATTTAGAGAGCAGAATGGAGGAGGGGAGGATGCCACTCCCCTGCATGGCCCTGAACCCCTCTGGGGCTCCTGATCTCCTGAGATTTCTGATTTAGAAAGTTGGATTTCCTCTTCTTAGAAACTGGGGATCCTGATCCTAGAACTGGGTGGGGACACTAATATCTTTTCTTGGGTGTGGGGGTGGTCTTGGGAGGACCCGGAATTTAATGGAGTCATTCTTTACTCTTCTGCCTCTGCATCATAAAAGTAGGGGGATTTCTCCTATTCAGAGAAGATATGCCTCCCCCTCCCCTCATTCCTTAAGTACATGGAAGTCCTCCCTCTTGTCTGACCTCCCTCCTCCTGCTGCAATTTAATGCTCTCTATTTGACCTCTAGGAAGGTGAGGCCCAGTGGGTTTTTCCTTCAAGAGATACTTGTTCAGAACTGCAGAACCCAGGATGAGGCCCACCCCAGTTCTGTCCCTCCAGGCCTCTAGATTTTCTCCTTAGCCGTATACCCTGGCCTCCCCTCACTCCAGCCCCAACTCTGAAATATACCTAGCTCCCACTTAAGTTATTGACCCCAAACTTAGAGCCTGAACCCAGGTGCCCATCAGATGGCATGTTAGTAGGAGTGGCAGGAGAGGGGGCTTTAAAGCTCCGCAACCCTCCAAGCCTCACAAATAGAACAATCATTTACTGATATTAAAGCAGCACAGATGTGGGCTTGACAACAGGTAGGACTTAACTGCCAAAGGCTGAGGAAGAAGCCATCTGGAGTGGAGGAAAGAGATTTAAAAAAAAGAAACAAAGAAAGAAAGAGCTCACTTTGGCTTGTGGTTGGAGGGTTGGGGCAGTCAGAAAAGTGGACCACTTGGATTTGGATAGGTGGTGTGTTGGGAAGAGAGAAAGGGGAGAGTGAATTGTTGGTGGAGATGGGTGTGAGCACAGCTGTGTGTGAATGGGGCCAAAGTTATTTGTGTGCTCAGGAATGTGCAGTTTGTGTGCTGGCTGGGGAGGATGGGAATGGAAACACCAGGACCCCATGTGCAAGTGAAAGGGGCATATGAAAGTGTATTTTGTGCTCACCCCACAGGTATTGTTGAGATAAAGGCACTCCGCACCCCTGCTCTTAGTGCATGTGTGCAAACTCACAGGCATGTGCCATGTGTGCTTCGAGGAAGAGTGTGGTCCTCTGAGACTGGGGGCACGCAAGGCATGTGGAGGAGGAGGAGAGGGCTTGTGGAGCTAGCCGTGGAGGTCTCTAGCCTTTCCCCACCGTGCTGCACCCCAGCCTCCCTCACTTTTCTCTCTCCCCTTCTCCCTCTTTGTCTCTTTGTCTTGTATTTCTTTTTTCTCTTCCTGCCTCTCCCTCCAGCCTCCCAGCTTTGACCCACTCCTCTTTCAAAGCAGAGGTATGGATCCAGAATACCCTTTTCTACCACCCTACTCAGCCCCTAGGCCATCTCAGCTCTCCTCCCCCCCACCCAGGGACAAGGGGACAGGAGTGACATGGGTTGCATGCTGCTCCTCCACACGGGAGGGGGGGTTCTTTATCATCCTACTCCTCCGTTCTCCCTTGAAATTCTGATTCTCAGACCCTCCCGGGCATCCCCCTCTGCACCAATTGCTGCAAATGCATTGTGATTTGGGGACCCTCAGAGAGAGACTACTGGGTAGAAGACATGGGGGGAGGTCACAGAGCAGATGGAGGTCAGTGTTCCTGAGTCAGCTGCAGGACACTTGTGATGAATGGAGGCTAAATGAGGGGTAGATTGTGAGGTTACTGAATGCATTGGGGTTCAGTGTAAAGATTGGGGTTCGTGACAAATGGGGGTGGTAGTAAGTGATTTGGAAGTTTGTCAGTAGCCAGAAAAATCGAGGGGACAGCAAATGTTTGGGGAGGAGTTTTTGAATGGATATAGGGGAGCAGTTTGTCTGGGAGGATGATTATTTGGGGGTTCGGAGGAGTGAGTGAATTCGGAAGGTCCTGGATGGAACTTGAGTGGAAGTTGGTGCGTTTTGAAGTCTGTGGTTAACAGAGACACTGGGTAGATCTGAGATCCCGTGAGTGGATTGTTCAAGTTGGGTGGGCTGTGTGTGCGGTGGTGAAGTCTTCACGGGGCGGACTGAAGGGTTTGAGGAAAGTTGGGCATCTGGGAAGGAACCCGGAGCTATCTAGGCCTAGCATGAACCTCCTTGTCCTGTAAGTTTATTTCTCTTCCCCTTCCCTACTGTATCCCAGGCTGCAAGATTAAGGCTTTGAGGGCCAAGACCAACACCTACATCAAGACACCGGTTCGGGGCGAGGAGCCTGTGTTCATGGTGACAGGGCGGCGAGAGGACGTGGCCACAGCCCGTCGGGAGATCATCTCAGCAGCTGAGCACTTCTCTATGATCCGTGCCTCCCGCAACAAGTCAGGAGCAGCCTTCGGTGTGGCCCCTGCCCTGCCGGGCCAGGTGACCATCCGTGTGCGAGTGCCCTACCGAGTAGTGGGCCTGGTGGTGGGCCCCAAGGGGGCAACCATCAAGCGCATCCAGCAGCAGACCAACA